TTCCGCCATAACACTTTTACAGAGGCAATTTCCTTAGTTCTCAATTTCCGGACTTTCCTATCAAGAATGGCAACTGGAATTTCTTCATAAGATAGTTCTTCATTAACCTCAATAGCTTCAATTGGCACAATAACGGACGGATCTCCCACTACCTTCTTCAACATAGACACATGGAAGACCGAATGTACCAACGACATCTCGAGTGGCAGCTCGCGCTTGTATGCCACCTGACCGATCCTCTGAATGATTCTATACAGTCCGACATACCTCGAACTTAACTTCCCTTTCTTCCCGAATCGCATGATGCCCTTCATGGGGGAAACCTTCAAAAATACTCAATCATCTTCTTTGAACTCCAAATCTCTGCGACTAATGTCCGAATAAGACTTTTTGGCGACTCTGAGCAGTTTTCAACCTCTCCTTAATAATCCAGACTTTCTCCATGGCTTGATATATGAGGTCCGACCCTATCAATTCTGCTTCTCCAACCTCGAACCATCCAATGGGAGACCTGCATCTCCTACCATACAGTGCCTCGAATGGTGCCATCTGGATACTAGCATGGAAGCTGTTGTTGTAAGCAAATTCTATGAGTGACAAATGGTCATCCCAACTACCTTTGAAATCAAGAGTACAAGCATGCAACATGTCCTCAAGCGNAGTTTGAGGATGGAAAGTTGTGCTGAGATTTACCTGCGTGCCCAAGCCCTGCTGAAATTTCTTCCAAAGTTGGTCGTGAACTGAGCCTCTCGATCTGAAATGATTGAGACTGGAGTGCCATGCAACCTGACTATTTCTTTGATATACAACTGGGCATACTGTTCCACTGTGTCGGAAGATTTAACTGGCAAGAAGTTCGCTGATTTTGTGAGTCGGTCAACGATCACCCAAATTGAGTCGAATCTGCGCAGAGTGCGCGGCAGCCCTACTACAAAATCCATATTGATCATCTCCCATTTCTACATTAGAATTTCTATGCTTTGAGTCAATCCACCAGGTCTTTGATGTTCGGCCTTCACTTGCTGACAGTTCGGACATCTAGTCACAAAGTCCACCACACCCCTCTTCATGTCGTTCCACCAATAAATTTCCTTGAGATCATGATACATTTTCGTAGAACCTGGGTGCACAGAATACCTGGAATTATGAGCCTCCGCCATTACCCTCTCCCGAAGATTATCCACATCTTGACTTAGTATTTACTTAAAAATATTTTTATATTTATAAGTATTTTCCAGTATAAATAAAATAATTTAATACTTATTATTAAATTGTGATTTTAAATTCATTAAAAGTAAAAAGAGAGAAGCCTTTTATGATTTTGCTAAAAAATCTATGAATATTTTAATAATTATTTCTTTTTGTGTTACAATCAATATGAAAATATTTTTTTTCCTCTTTTTATTTTAAACATGGAATTATGAGTTTTATTTAATAATTAAAATTTCCCAAAAGAAATTTAATTTATATATACATTTTAAGTTATTGCTGGGAATTCTTTTATTTATTAATATTTTTTCGTTCTGACTATATTTATTTTCTTCTGCTTTTTTCCACCAGTTTGATTCTTCTGAGTTGTTTTTTTCCTTTCTTTGGTTCCAGACTCTCATTCTAATATTCCATGGTTGAACTTAACAATCATTGATCAAAACTTTAGATTTGAAGTGTCATAGTTAGTTATCCAACCATAGTATCACCGCTCACACGTACACTCTTTTATGGACCACCAATATGTAAATGAGCAATTACAAAATTCTTTTCTGATTATGAATTACTTCTCAAATTAACTATGTGATCCGCAATGGCTGCTGTTTTCTAAGACAATAATATGTAAAATCTTTTAAGACAATAAAGTAAGTAATACAAACCTCTAATATTCTATCTAAATACTAGTTATATATTATAAGCCTCAAACATTTTGTCATCCACCATGGCTTGGTAAGAGTCTAGATATTTTCAGTTGTATCTATTTAAACGAGATAAGAAAGAAAGTTCCAAAGAGCAGAATGACCGTCCAACTCCAAGAATACTAGGGAGCGGGCATTGCTCTTAGCGTGTGATAACAACGAAAGAAAACTCCACATACAAATTACGACTAAGATATCCATAAATGTTTGGACCTCTATTTTGTCAAACTTGAATATTCTAACGGATCAACAAATGATGGTACAAAAAATGAAAATCAATGATGTCTGCAGAAAAGTTCCAGACAGGCACTTAGATCATAAAGAATCAAGATTTACAAATTGTTCCCTGAAATGCTCAACTATTTACGCATAGAACAACTTTAGTAAATCTAGATGATACGTATGTGTGAAAAAACCAGATAAATAACGCATTTTAAAAAGGATATCCCGGTGCAAAAAGCTTTTACTATGCCGAGGTATGGGGAAAGACTGCACCACATTGGTTCTATAATATGCAGCCTTACCTTACATATATGCAAGAGGTTATTTCTATGGGTTGAACTCGCGACCACCTAGGCACATGACAGCCCCATTGTAGCAAGGCTCCCCTTCCAAGGTTCAAAAAATATTTTTAAAAGATAAAGAGCCGAATCAGGAAATTACCCATTGTCACCATTATTCTCCTGTACTAGAGCATCAGCAGGTCTGACACATCCATTATCCGGTTGCTGTCCTTCACTCTCAGCAGTAGCTAGTGACAGCAAACACTTGCCCAAGGTTGCGAGCCCATTCTGCGTTTGATACATATCCGGTGGAAGATCAGCAGCATTAATAAGAGATGTCATGCTTATTCCAGCTGCTGCCTCAATTAGCATTTCATCTTCGCGATTAGGATGACAGTTAAGGTCCAACTGTCCCTCGCCAGCTCCAACTTTCTCCATGTTATCCCCATTTGTATTTCTTTCGTTTTCGGAATGACTTGTTTGCATCATCAATTCAGCTCCACTTGCCCCATCTGTTTCTGATCCATCTTTAGGTGGAACCTGATCCTTTGCCTGTGCAACTTTTGCCTCTCTTTCCGATTGTTTTTTCTTCTTACGCAGCATGAGGGTTTTAAAACGTCGTTCGGCACTCAAGCAGGCGTTGCACTTACACGTAGGCTGGTGCTTGCCCTTTCCACTTGGAGGCTGAATGCAAACAATACAAGTGCAACCAGGACGGTGCCGAGGATGTTTTGTTGTGGCTCCAACTAAAGGCTCTCCCAGGTCGCCAATGTTGTCTCCCAAAACAGCAACTGTTGCTAAGGCATTTAATCCAGAAGGTTCACAATCTTCATTTTTCCCGGCAATTTTTTGCCTCTTGTAACCTGGAAATGAAAAAACAATATAACAGTGAAGGGCATAATCTTTATAAAAGGAAACAATCAACTTTCTAGACGCGAGGATATGAGAAGAAATTATATTTGTTTTGCAACTTTTGGTTGGTAAAAACAAAAATGAGCAAATAGTTTCACTTCTTTTCTATTCAAAAAAGTCGTAGAATACAAAACTTAGCAAGTCCACTCATCAACATGTATAGCGTATACCCCATCCTGATCCACAACTCATTTGCTTTCTTCAAAAAACGTTACCTACATAAATGGTTTGATGCACCTACTACTTTTTGGTTCGTTTAAAGAGACAATCATCATAAATTATCTTTATAAAGTAGGTGGAAACACAGAACATTATACATTTTTGACAAGCCAAAGGACATAACACGGCCTAATTCAAAGACTTCGGCACGGTGTGATATCTTTCTTATAGATGAATCTGCATTGGAACAACTTCTATTTGGCAGCTACTCGGATTGCCAAGGAAGGACGGGTCATTAGATGGAAAAGAATAGGGGTGTTCATCGTAAGAAGTTACAAAACTATGGATTTCAACTGAAGTCCAACTTCAACTTTGGTTGTGATTAATTCAATGTCAGTGCTAACGCTACCGAATGAACATAATTAAGGACGATCTACATCTCCACATGGTAACTGAGAAATGGACCTTTTTGAAAGTGACTAATTTTTCATGACGAATCTTGTACGTACAGTTACTTCCATTTGATCAAATTAGAAGAAGCACCAACTTTTATCAACTTCACCTTTCCTGAATAATCTGCATCTAACAAGCTAGTAAAATTTTGAAGCTACATCACAAGTGATGTATGCTAGAGTGTACAATGTGGTTTACTAGTGAAAAAATTCACATAAGATGTAGAACCCTTATTGTGGGGATTAAGAGATCTTGACTTCTTGGGTGCTTTTAAGCACTAAAAGATTCTATATTTTACTAGCAAGTAAGACATATGTGGGATAGGACAGCTAATTGCATTAGTGAAGTAGCTAGAGCGGTGTTGGGAGTCTCGAGGGGTAATTTTGGTGGACATTAAGGGGAGGTGGAATGGAGAGGTCCAAAGGAAAGTTGGAAGCCAAGAAGGTTGCCTATATGAAGTTAGTGAAGAGAAAAAATGAGGAGGAAAAGAGGACGAATGTGGAGAGGTATAAGACGAAGAAGAAGGAAGCAAAGTTGGAGGTTACAGCGGCAAAAACAGCAGCTTTTGAACACTTATATGAAGAGCTAAGGACAAAGGCGAGGATAAGAAGCTATATAGGCTCGCCAAGGCGAGATAGAGGAGGGGCCAAGACCTGGACCAAGTGAAATGCAGCTAAGACGAGGAAGGCAAAGTATTGGTGAAAGAGGCATACATTAAACGAAGATGGCAGGCATACTTCAATAAATTCTTAAATGAAGAGGGTGTCACGAATATTCTGCTAGGGAACTTAGAGCACTCCGAGAATAGTTGATATTTTGGATATTGTAGGTGTATAAAGTTTGAGGAGGTTAAAGAGGCTTATTCGCAAGATGAGAAGGTGAAAAGCGACCGGGTCTGACAAGATCCTGGTGAAATTTTGGAAGAGTGCATGAAATGTAGGTATAGAGTGGCTTTCTGGGTTATTTAACGTCGTTTTTAGGACGACAAAAACGACTAAAATGCCCGAGGAATGGAGGTGGAGTACAATGATTCTGTTGTACAAGAACAAGGGTGATATCCAAAATTGCAACAGCTATAGGGATATCAAGCCACTAAGCCATACTAATGAAAGTGTGGGAGAGGGTGGTGGAAATGAGGATGAGCCGATGAGGATGGGTGTGTCTATTTTCGAGAACCACTTCGGATTCATACCGGGATAGTCAATTACAAAAGACATCTATCTTGTAAGGAGATTGGTGGAGTAGTATAGGGATAGGAAGAGAAAAAGCATACAATAAAGTACCCAGGGAGGTCTAGTGGAGATGTTTGAAGCGAAAGGTATACTTGTGGCATACATTAGGACGACTAAAGACATGTACAATGAAGCCTAGATCGGAGTGAGGACAATGGGAGAAGACTCGGAACACTTTAAGTCGTGATGGGGTTACATTAGGGATCAACTCTTAGCCTGTTCGTATTTGCCTTGGTGATAGATGAATTGACGCGACATATCTAATGGGAGGTGCCATGGTGTGTGATATTTGCAAATAACATAATATTGGTTAACAAGAAACGCGACGAAGTTAACGCTAGGCTAGAGGTTTGGAGACAGACCCTGCAGTTTAAAGGTTTCATGTTGAGCAGGACCAAAACAAAGTACTTGGAATGCAAGTTTTGTGACATAAGTCACATAACACATGAGGTGGGTGTGGACGTGAGGATTGATACACAAGTCATCCCAAAGAGAAAAAGTTTGAAGTATCTTGGGTCAAAAATCCAAGGTAATGGGATAATTAACAATGATGTTACACATCGTACAAGAGCGAGGTGGATGAAATGGAGGCCCGCATCCGGTGTGCTGTGTGATAAGAACGTGCATTCAAGATTTAAAAAAAAATTCTATAGAGTGGTTGTTAGACCAACTATGTTGTATGAGGCAGAATGTTGCCAATCAAGAAATCACACGTTTAGAAAATGAAAGTAGCGAAAATAAGGATGCCGAAATGGATGTGTGAGCATACCAGGAGAGATATGATTAGGAACTAAGATATACAGGCCAAAGTGGGAGTGGCCTCCGTGGTGGATAAGATGAGGGAAGCGAGGCTGAGATGGTTCGGGCATGTGAAAAGGAGATGCACAAATGCCCAGTAAGGTGATGTGAGAGGTTGGCAATAGTAGGTCTTAGGAGAGGTGGAGGTAGGCCGTATTAGGGTAAGGTTATTAGACATAACATAGCACATCTTCATCTTACCGAGGATATGATCCTAGATAGGAGGGTATGGAGATCGAGGATTAAGTTAGAAGGTTAGTAGGTAGTCGAGGACCAATGTCTCACTTTCATGTGTGAGAGGCTTGGTGACAGTTTGAAGCACCTTATATGCTCGTCCTTCTATGTACCAATAGCATTAGTATTATTCTCATATTATCCTATTTTGTAAATTTTTTATATTATCTGTTGTTCCTTTGCGTCGGCTATCTTGTTATTATGATGTTGTTACTGTTTCTTTTCTCCAGTATTTCTAACATGGTCTCTTCACTATTGTTTTTTTCAAACTTGCTTTGTTTTTTCTTTGAGCAGAGGGACTATCGGGACCAGCCTTTCTACCTCACACAAGGTAAGGGTAAGATCTGCGTACACATTACCCTCCCCAGACCCTCTTGTAGGAGATTACAATGTGTATGTTGTTGTTGTACTAGCAAGTAAGACGTGTTTAATCATTCATCATCATTCTTAACCATATATACTTCTTGACTACATCATAATTATGTAGTGGTTGACGCTGTATAACAGTTCATAAAGAACATTAAAGTATGTCTAACCACTCTTCCTGAAAAAGGAAAAAATTAAAAATACAAATAAAAGGTGGTAGGGGAGATAGTCTATTACACGAGAAAAGATATAATACCCTTACTGACTCTAAAGAAAGCTTTCAGTTCCTTTGCTTTAATCTCCTCAGGAGCCGAACAGGAACATCTGTAAACAAAAATGTTGGCAGAAAATGGGTAAGATAACTGTAGCCTTTCTTCATAACTTATTTAGTCAATAAGTACACACAGGTAGAGGTTTATATCAGTTTGCAGAGCCCCCCGCCAACACATAAAAAAAGGGTGAAAAATCTCAGAGCGATGCACCAGAACATGGCATCTTGGACAACTAAACGTGCTTAAAAGAAATTAAAGGCCTAACACCAACTTGCTCCAGTTAGCTAAGCTTGCCAATGATATGAGAAGCCAAAAAGGAAAAAAGAAAACTCCACACAAAATGTTTAATCCACTTTTTCTTAAATTGATATGGGTGAGGCCGTGGGGGGTTTAATGCTGAGTTTTGGTTTACCTATTAAGAAACTTCACCAAATGGGCAAGAAGCAAAACATTTCTTTATTTCAGCAATGTGATATTTATAAATGAGAATCAAATAACAAGCTTAAATAGTAACAATCAAAAATGGAAGATTACAAACCTATTTGAGTCCCAGATGTTGTCTGAACAAGTCCACTTAGGAGGAAGGAGAACATACATGGGCAATCTACGCCACTTGGAGCAGCTGTCACATTGAGCCCATTGTTCCTGGTCCCTGTACAAAGGGTACTACAACCACTTAACAATCTTGCAGTTTCTAGCAGTGAAATAAGCAGCAGCAGTGAAATAAGCAGCAGCAAATTCACTAATTTTCTATAACGGCAGCTTTGATATGAAGCAAAAGCAAAGGCAAATATTATAGAAAAAGCACATAGTTTCTGTTTTTGATCTTTTCGGATTCTACATCCTCCGATGTACGTGGAAAAAAATAGACAAACAATGAGGCTAAATGTAATGGTATAGTGAGAAAACTTTCTGAACACTGAAAAAGCTTTTCTTAATAGTCAAGAGTCTGTGCCTTACCCAGAAGGCCGGGAAGTAAATATTGTCTGCTTCCCAAAGACTGGTGGTTCCTATAGTTAAAAGAAAGCATTATAGTTTTCAATTACTAATCTCTATCATGATGGAAAGGAAATGAAGAAAAATAAAATGGGAAGAAACAAAATTTGTGTGATACAATGTACACTGAGTTGGCTTACATCATACGCCTCAAATTCACAGTCCTCAATCACAAGAATGGTCGGTTGGGTAGTTGGAGGTGGACGGAGCAATTCTTGTGATTCTTCCCATGACATTCTAAGCTCCATGGCATCATCAGCATGCATGAGAAGCCTCTTATTTTTATACCCGATGTTTGTAGTCTTTTTCTGTAACACCCCATAAATCCGGATTAGTTGTGGATGTGTTAGAAGACTATTAATGTGATCT